AAAGAATGGTTAGGGACCCTTTAACATTAGTAGGAATAGGAATGCTATTGCTGAGATTAATATAAGACTGACCAAAACCAACTTTTTCCCGCTGGCAAGAAAGAGCCTCCAAGCAAGCTGACACGTCCTGCTTCGAAAGAAAACCGTTCGCTGGACAGCTACACTTATATAGAGCTGAACGGTTCCGGCCCGAGAGAAAGACGAGGCAGCACCAAAAAGCCAAAAAAACAACTTTTTGAGAGAATGGGGGGGGGGATGTTAAAAAAGATGGTTTTTATGGTTTTACCTCGTAAAAAGATGGCTTTGGGGACAAAAACCAACTTTTACCTCGCAAAAAGATGGTTTTCCTCAGGGACACCAAGCCAGAACAATTTCTTTACGAGGGAAAAGTAGGTTTTTCTATGAAAAACCATCCTTTACGAGGCAAAACCAAAAAACAAAAAGCAGCCATCTTTTTGAGAGAATGGGGTGGGGGGGGGCATCTGGAAAAAGATGCTTTTTGGTTTTACCTCGTAAAAAGATGGTTTTGGAGACAAACCAACTTTTACCACGCAAAATATGGTTTCGGAGACAAAAGCCAACTTTTATCTCGCAAAAAGATGGTTTTCCTCAGGCAGACCAGGCCAAAACCATCTTTTTGCGAGGGAAAAGTTGGTTTTTCTACGAAAAACCATTTTTTACGAGGCAAAACCCAAAAAACCATCTTTTTCAACATCCCCCATCATTCTCTGCAAAAGTTGATTTGTTTTTTGTTTTTTGGTCTCGCCCGTGTCAGCGTCCAGTCCTGTGCTCCATGTGGAGTCTGTTTTGTCGAGATACAGCCACTGAGAGTAGCAAAAAACGGCATAGGGCACGAGCGGGTTTTAAACGGTATTTACGAGGGAAACAGATCTGGGTAGGTCATGGGGGGGGGGGGGGGGGTGTGTCCATAAATAAAGTATCAGATATAGATATAAATATGCATATAAACATAAATGTATATAAATATAAGTATAAATACAAATATAGATATAAATAACTACAGAAATGAATATGAATATATATATATATATATATCTTGTCAGATGCATGTTGAGAATACCTTCAGAGTTTTTTCAGACATAGTTTCAGAAACGTTTTCACGAGCAGAAATAGATTCAGTAAATGCTTCAGAAGTTTTCCAGAAATCAGGTATTTCAATGAATTTGGACAGATCCAGCTGATGGGCTTCACTAAGGGATAACTTGCAAGATCAGCTCCAAACGCCCGCAGACGGTGATGGCTTGCAATGCCAGGTGCTGACAAAATCTGGCAAAAGCCCATTTCATGTCACGTGACCCAGGTTCCATTGAGCCATCGCCTTTGCTACATCGTCTGCGATCAGCGCAGCACCCCTCTGCGCGACTTGGCTGAGATATCTTTGGCATCCTTTACTGATTCAGCCTGGCGTGCCGTTTGCCTAGGCGAGGTGCTCCTCAACATCACCTTGTGCGTCATCGTGGCGTGGCTGGAGCTTTGCAGAGCTAAACTAGAATCGCCCGGGTGCCTGTTTTTGACTGTTTCTGACTTTCAGGGCCAAAGCAGGATCCTGGCGGAATCAGGAAGCTTTGACAGGGGGCCCTGTGTCCAAAGACCTTGCTCGGAGCGGATCTGTTTGCAAGGCTCAGGAGCTACTCTACACATGCCGAACCCAGTAGCTCGAAGCGGCTATCAAAAGTAATGTTGCTGGCACACTGTCCAACGGGTGTTTATCATTCCAACAAGTGTGACCGGTGATCTGTTGCCTACTCCCGACGGGTGCTGCACGCACATCTGAACTGAGAGCAGATCGAGATCGTGTAGACTGCTCTTGTTACGTTCTCCAGGTGACCACGATGTGGGTGACCGCTTTCTTTGCAACTTGGCATTGACTCAGCTCTGCCATTGACTAGAATACAATGTTTGCCAAACCAAATTCGTTAGTCTGCTCAGCAATCGCGCCTTCACATGATTATCTCTTGCTTGGTTTCTTCCACGCTGCACACCCCCTTTCACTCTCTACTACCACGACGACTCCACCTGCTGCCGCCCTCCAATGCTGCGGTGATTGTCATCGCAATATCTCCCACTTGTAAATGGCTGCTTCGCAGAGACGAACTTTTTGAGGGGGAGCCCCGTCCCGAGGTGAATTTCAGACTCGTGGACCGAACCGTGCCTTGGCTGGCATCAAGGTTGGGAGGTGACATGCTTGCAAGAGTTCTGGGAGTTTGGGGTTTCGGGCATATGTGACTGGGCCTCTCAAGGCCTAGAAAGGAAAGGCCGCGAGCTCTGCGAAGCACTGTTTCGCCAACACCTCCGAGCATGTGACTTCCTAGTTTCCTAGTGGCTCTTCTCAGTACAGTTACACGACGAGGCTGACACACACACACACACACGGACACGGTATCTGCTTGATGGATCAGGCCGTGGGAAGCTTCCTGCGGTTTGCTTTGGTTAGGGACTCGGGGTAGGCAGGTTGAGACATTGAACACGCATAGCAGGCTTGCAAATCTGACGCCAAAGTTGAAACAAAGCCCGCTGCAGACGCCCTGAGGGCTAACTCTTGCTGTCATGAGTCAGAGGTTGACCTTGTGATGGAGCTCTAGATGTAACACTGTGGTGCTGCCAGAGTACCTTCTGTTCTAGAATCAGGAGTTTGTGTTGGGCTGCGAGGTCACCTGACCCAAAGAAACACATACGCCGAGGTGCTCTCCGGCTGGCTTCTGCCTCTGCCTGTCCTGGAATGGCTGGTCTTTTTCTACTTGCAGCGTGATGCCTTCGGGTGCTGCAACCGCTCTCGAAAGAGTTTGCGTTCTTCGAGCAGCCGACTGCCGACTTCAGGATGATGTTTTGCCACGTTCGGCCAAGCCGACTCTTCAGCCTAAGCGCTGCCGAAGCGCTCTTCCTGAGCGCTGCTGTGGGCTACCACCCAAGTCCTTCGGTGAAGGTTGGCACCCGGTATAGCATGGGCTCCTTCAGTTCCAAGGATGTCGAAGAACGTTGCAATCACAAAAAACAAAGCATCTTCATTTGTTCAGTCGACTCTCGAAAACAGGCGTCGACCCAGTCTGGCCGAACCATCACAAGCAGAATAGTTTTTGGGTCCAAGCGAGTTCGGGTAGTCAACTCCTTTGCTTGCATCTTCTATATTTTTCAACAAGTCGATGCACCTTGAGTTCGGACTCAAGTACCATGCGCCGCCGCTGCACCACACCAGAGATTTCCAAAAACATTGTCAGTGTCTTTTTGGGCTTTACTGTCGCTGCTACGGCAGCTGTGATTAGGAGCATCGCAGAAACGTCCTGGTATGCACCATGATAACCTGGAAAACCCTGGGGAGCACCCGCTTGCTTCAGGAGAAGTTTTCGGCGGGTCGCTTCCCAGCAGCCACCTGCAGCTGCCACGTGTACGAAAGCAGACTTCCTGCCTCTGGAGTTTCGCAGTGACTTTGTAGCTGGTGGGTGCCAAAGAGAGGGTCCCTGTGTGAAGCAACAGGCAGGCAGGGGATATTTATGTTGTCCAGGCTCGAATGCTTCGGGTCTTGTTTGGCACACACCTGATGACCTGTCACAGAAAAGACCTGTCAAAGCAAGGGCGCCCAGAAAGTTCAACCCACCGGAGAACCGAGTTCATAGTCTTTAAGGCTATGGAGGGTCCTCATGCGTATTAGTTAATTAGGCTTGAAGACGTCAACGTGTTTACAATATGATCTTACACTTGAAGTTGTGAAGCATTCATCATTCTGCATGACAGGGTTCCCTCTCGTCCACCACGGTGGCAAGCGACCTCGTCGCAATCACTGTCGCCCTCGCTTCGGCTTCGATGTGAAAACATCAAGGCCACAAGTAGCCCTATCCATTCCGTTCCTTGCGGCACAAGGGCCGACGGCAGTCCCTCGAAGTCGTATTCGGGGTGCAGGGTTCTGGGCGCTAGCCGCTGCTAGCCATGCAGCTGCGAGTTAGCTCCTGGAAGCCTTCGAGCCCTTGCCGGCTGCATAGCAGGGACGGGATGCCCCATTTCGCTGTGGCGGTCAGCTCGTGCTTTGCAGCCTTGCAGTCCAGCAACCTACAACCCACTTCCAGCTAGGCAGCAGTTTTCTTTAGGCGCGTAAGAAACTACTACCATTGAACATTTGCGGGTATGCCGTGTCCGCCAATAAGCCTTTCTGCACTTACTGCACCTGCGATGACTGGCTGTCACACCCCCTTTGATGTCGATGCCATCCAGAGGTGGATTCTCAGTGGCAAGGTCAATAACCGAAAAAAGCTGCTTTGTGGCTGGGTTTGCTGAAGCTTCATGGATCTCCCAAAAAAGGCCCATAAATGTAGAGAACTGACCATGACCCTGAAGTGCTGCCAAAGCTTTCAACGATCATGTTTTTCGATGTTGCCGGAAGCAGTTACCGGAGTAAGGTACCGCACAGAGCTTTTCCATTCAGCAGGCGATAGCATGATGTGTTCTCGGATGGGTATCGCAGACAGTACCATTTCTTGATTAAACGGGCCGCGCCCTAGGCATGCAACGCAGAGAGGGGTCATGATGGGGCAAGGCCATGCGTGCGCACCCACCCTCCCCCCGTTACTACAAACTTGCGCAACGCTGGAAGCAACATCAGGGCAAATGAGCTGTGCGTAAACAGGGTCCAGGCCTTGCGGACTATCCACCTTGCAGAACAAGCCAGGACCCAACAAAATTCAACCCCTGTAGCCGAAGAATTTCAATTGACTGTCGGCATGGAGTTCTTTGGGACAAGATCACGAAAGTCTCGGCGGCGGGCTGACAAGCCCGTCGCTGGACCAAATTTAGAGTTGAAGGGTGTTGTTGTGGTTGCGAGTGGCATCGCGAGATCCCAGCGAGATTCCGGAAGTGATCTGGTATGTCTTGTTTGAGGTAGACAAGATGCAGGCGAGCAGCTGCACCTTACAACTGAACTTTGTCAGGGCAGACGGCAGACATTCCGCGGCTCGAAGCCCAGGGGCCTCACAGTCCCAACATCTGCTGCAATGGCGGAGCAGGTCGCCTCCGAGGCCGGCTCTTGAAGTCAAACTCTCGGAATCGTTGAAATCGCACCGCATGAGAGGGGCTCTTGCACCTACAGCAGGTCGATGACGGGCTCATCCTGTTGGAGGCAGCTGTTTTAAGCTTCTCCCTGGCATGTAGTTCTTGGAGCCTTTGAAGCATTCTGATTCTCCCAGTGCATCTTTTCGCACCGTGCTGTACCTGCAAAGCACTGCCCTACTCAACGGACCTGTGCTGTTCCTAGCAGGTCGGCGTGGAGAACGCTTGCGCAGCAGCCTCGGAGGCTGACGTCGCCGCTCGGATCCATGATGCTGGGAAGCTGGAGCTCTCGGAGACTGGCACGGAGATGTCTCCTGAAACTTGGCGCCCCGGGCACCACTGCCCCTCGACCTTCGCAACAGACGGGCTCGCAACGAACGGGCGGGAGGAGGCCGTGGCCGTCGATGAGCTCGCTGGGGAGCTCGCTGAGGAGCTCGCTGAGGAGATCGCGTGCTGCCAGGAGCATGATGTCTCCTTTGAGGCCGGCTTTCGGGATGTGTCCACTCGCGGTGCGGCTCACGAAATAGAACCTAGGACCGAGCCCGAGTTCTGCAAATAAGGGCATGAAAGCCGAAAAAGACAACTGACAAATCCCGAGCTCGAAACAGAGCTCTACGTGATAAACAGCGTGTCGGCCCTGAACCCTGCGAAGGGGTGTCGATCCTAACAGCATACCACTATATACCACTCAAGATCAGAGTAGACACCGTAGTTGAATGTAGTTGATTGTTTCGCAAATCAATGGACCGCACGTTCCAAGCAAGATCGAAGTAGACACTTTTGCGAGCCATGTGATTAATTCCGATTGATTCCTATGCGAAGCAGCACTCGAGAACGTAGAAAGGAGGCTTTGCCAAACCTTGTCGCATACGGCTTTGCCATTGATGTCACCATGGTTGAGCAAGGTCGAGAAGGAAGAGGCCCGCTCGGCACCCGATACTCCAAATTCAATGGCAAGTATCTGAGTATCCCCAGCAGAAGTGCGAAACCCTACATGGGCCAACCCTAACTGCAACCCCACGAAGTGACGAATCCTGAGGTGAAGCTGTAGAACCAGGCAAGTCCCCAGCCCTGAACGGCCTGGCAATTTCCGAAGTCTCCGGAAGGGGTGGCATGCTGAAGTTTTCATAGGCCCTACACACCCTCGCCCTGCCTTGCAACCCCATGGCACTGCAGGCCGTGCTGCTGAGTGGCAGGGGGGCCTCCATCACGGCCTCGGCGACGGCCACACTGGAGGACTTGGAGGAGACGGTCGCTGGAAAGCTGGGCCAGCAGCCGCCCTTGCGCTTCTTCCTCGGGGCCCGGGAGCTCCAGGACTCCGCTTTTGGGCTCCTGTAGTTTCCGTCGGGTGTGAAGCATCGTGATAAGTTAATAGGGCCCTTTAAATATCCTTACAACATAGTGTTTATGGGGGCTTCTTTCTTCTTTCTTTTTCCCCCATTTCTTATTTCTATTATCTGTACGGGCTAGTAGTAAAACCATTAGAAGTACATCAAATTACTAGCCCGTATGTTTTGCTTGGTATTGTGGAAATTTAAACATTGAGAAGTTACATTAGATTCATTTTGTTTTCTTATGAATAGGTTTGGTCGTTATTCTTTGCTCTTGTTATAAGTCTATTCATCTTTACAGGATTGAATATTTATTGTTGGACGGGAATTCATTTCTCATAGAATTATTTTCTTATATTTTCATCATCTTTAATTGGACTAATACATGGTTTTCATATTTGGTCTAGAGATTTATTATGAGAATTCACTAAAACACATGAAGTCTTATTAGTAGTCTTTTTCCAATTTTTTGGGGTTTTCTAGTTCTGAAGCTCTCTTATTTGTATCCTTCTTTTGGACATCTTTTCATTAATTATCTTGTCCAACTTTAGGGATGTGGCCTGGAGAAGCTTTCTATCTTCCAGATCCTTGTGAATTAACTTTTGCTAATGCACTTCTTTTATCTAGTGCTGCTATATCTTTAGGAAACGCTTTCATGATCTTAGAAATTTCATCACACTATATTGTTTTCTTCACTTTGTGGTCATTCTATCTTCTTTTCTTTTATTAGTTTGCAGATGAAAGAACTTCGTATTCTCGCATGTTCAATTAATGATTCACTTTATGGTTGTCTTTTCTTTCTTCAGTTAATTCTTGGTATTTTACGTTTTTCCTTATCTTCGTTTCTTGTGCTCACTTCGATCATGCCTTATTGATCATATTAATGAGTCGGCGCTCCTTATATTATTTTTTTAATCATTCATTCTCTACGTCTTTATTCGAGAAGTATTTCCTCGCGGGGCAATACTAATAAGAATGCAATGAACCCCGCATAATAACATAAGAATGGCCGCGCAAGAGAAGTCTTTTAATGAGCGTGGAAACACTATTTTATTATTATTACACACGGGGCGAATACAAGAACTACTGAGCGCCCCGTAATAACAGTGTAATAGAGTGAGAAAAGGCTAGAAAAATAGCAATACTTTGTTTGGCCGTTTTCCTCTTTTAATAACAATAGTAATAAGAATCATACTAATCATATTAAACGGCCCACTAAAAAGAACTGAATACAAAGGGCCATTTACAACAAGATGTGGTTTCTTCGGCTGTTGGTGTGGCATCAGGGCTGATGTCATGCGCGAGGGGCACTCGCTCCGTGCACTGCAGGAGGTTACGAAAGCACGGAGCCTGGCTGGCGAAACGATCCAAGTCACGCCCCTCAGCTGTGTGGCTCTTGCTCCGCGTTGCTCAGCGGTTCCCAAAACCCTGAAACCATGTCTGAAATCCTAAAGGCCAGCCTTAAGCCCTGATGGGGCATCGAGGAGCGACCACACGAATCCCATTGCGGCTTGGCGGCAGGGTTGGTCGGCCCACTTGTGGTTTACAGGGTTTACAGGTGGGGGGGTCAGCTATGATTGGAGCGTGAAGGGGTTTAGGGGTATCAGGCTTGCAGGGCTTAGAGGTTCTAGGGTTGTAGGCATGTAGGTGCCACGAAGCCTTGCAGGGCCAGAGTTTGTGCCGCGTAGGAGTTCCCAATGGCAGCCAAAACCCCAGCGCCGGAAAGAGCGCCATGTCCCAAGTCGGTCCCAAGTTTGAAGGTGTAACTACTCTTAGTTGCTTAAGCTTGCTCTCTCGACCATGCTGCGCACTCCCAAGTCTTGTGCTCGATTGTCCAGGTACTGCGAAGGCTTGTGTACAAAGAACGCGGGAAGAAGCGTGGGGCTTGGTTTCTCGGTGTTTCGCATAGACCATGTACGGGCGAGTTGGAGCATGGCCCCAAAAAGCGTAGAGCGAAGAAGCGTTGAACTGCCTGTGATTTGATTCACAGCCCAACCTCCCCTCGCTTGTCAGGATGCTGCGGCAGGCCGGACACAATTCCCAATGCCCCTGGCCCTCTCGAGACCTTAAAGCTGACATATACTGGAGGGTTTTGCTGCTTGCCCTATAGAACCGTGTGTTTAAGGTCACGCATCTCTTTGCCAAGCCATCCCTGCCTCTGAATCCGCTTCGAAACCTTAAAGCTATTGGAGCCATGCAGGGCGAAGATGGCCACGTCCTCTTCTACGAGATGTCGGACTTCGGAGCTCTGTACTGTAGGTTCCGTCGTGCGGCCTTGGAGGCGCACGTGCGCTCGTGAGTATGTGTGTGTGTGTGTCTCTGTGTGTGTGTGTGTCGCGATTAATGACAAAAAGTTAGTTGCGCCAAATGGGAGTGAATGTGGACTCTGGGCGTGGGGTGTATGGCGCCGATGGCCACTGCGAGGCCAGAGCGCGGCGCGCAAGTAATGTGGAATTCTCCTGGCAACTTCCCGTGTCGCAGCTCAGGTCCATTACTGGGTACTGGGGTTAAGTCGTGCCGCGTTGTGTAAAGTCGCCCCGCGACAGCGTAAAGCCGCGTGATCTTGTTGATGGCTCGACTTCATACGAGATGGTTCGACTTAACCCCGCCGCCTAGTACCAAGCAGCACTAGGCATTACCGCACAGAAGGTGTCAGATTTCGTCTGCCGCAGCAACCTGTGACTGCTTGTGTTCGATATTGTTCGATTCCCAGCAAATCCTGATTTGCCTGACATGCTCACCTTAGTCCACTGGGCAGCATCTAAGATCCAACCAATGTCTGACCGCGTGAGGCGATTTGAGCTGGGCTGGCTCTGGTGATGCACGTGGCTACCCTCTCAAGTTGGGAACGGGGAAGCCCTGAGGCCACCCGGAGCTCCATTTCAGCAGCCAGAATGTTCAACATCAGAGGCTTCAGCCAAGAGTTGTAGCCTGGGGCTGCAGTCCGCGCAAATGCTTTCAGGCGTTTAGGCTGCAAAGTTTGGAGAAGGGTTTGTAGATTCTAGGCTCCACTGTACCAGTAGGATAGAGAAGCTCGGTGGAGCGCGGGTAATGCTTACAACTTGCGGGGGGTTTTCTTGAATCGTAGTCGAACCTTCAAGCAGTCAGAGCTATAGCCCCCAAACCGGAAACCCTGTAAAATCGGCTATGAAACAGAAATCCCTGTTGACCTCCCATAAAGTTCTGTAGTTCCAGGCCCTACCTAGGCTGGGCGCCCAAGTGACATCTTATCACTCGCAGGGCTTCATCGGACGTCGCAGGCCTTCATCCTTGCCTAAACTCTATGAAAGTTCTGCAATCTAGGCGTCAGACGATCTTGTGCAACATGCGTGAGCAGGCACCAGGATGAATTAGTTAACCCGGTGCTCAAAGTGCAAACCGTTCAGATCCGAAGCCCTCAAGTACCAGGTTAAAGCTTCACGAAGCCGCCGACCCTATGGTCGTCTGGGGCAGCTGCTGAGTCCCATTCCAGGATGCACCCCCAAAGGTTTGTATCTGTGCAGCACGTGGTGCATCTTCGGACCTCAAAGGCCTCAGAGGTGCTCAAGCCATGCCTCAAAATTTAGCTGCCCAAGCAGTCACGCAATGTCCCGCAGGGTTTGGGGTTTGTCATCCCGGACCATGGTATTTTCATGGCCCGGAGCACTTCTGCAGTTTGCCCCTGGGCAGTCGCAAGTTGCTTCTGCCCTCAGTACAGACCGTGCAATCTTGCTTGTACAGCGACGGCTCGCGGCGGAAAGTGCGATGAAGTGCGATAAAGAGCTGAAGAGAGGAATGCCTTTGTGGGTGCCCATCATCAGGATCCTCCTATCTCTACAGCAACTGCGCCTCTATGCCGTTGCTGTATTTCCATTATTCTAAGACTACCAGCTGTGACTGCACCACCGCGCTGCCGCAGCCACCATTCCTTTCTTTCGACCAGCCTGTTTTCGTAGCTGTCCCCGACAATTTGCCCACAATCACCCCCTGTGTGACAACCAGATGGCTCGTGCTAATTTTGGCTGCAAACCATTGGGATAGACCCACGGGTCACAAGCCTGAAACCTGCGACACGATTAATTAGCATGCCACTTGTCAGCTGCGGAAAATCTTCTGGACTCCAGACCTTACTGGGCTTGTGCAAGATGCCAGAAATCTTGGGTTCTCGCAGCTACAGCTAGCCCAGCTCAGATTAAAACCAGGGGGGCTTGTGGGGTCAACTGCTGTGACCGGCACGACCAGACACATCGCGCCAACTTTGGATGTCGCCGCGACCAGATGGCTCGCTCCAAGTTTGGCATTTCTGGCATCTTGCACAAGCCCAGTTGGCATAACCCTCGTGACCGGCACACCCAGATAGCTCGTGCCAACTTTGGCTACGGTCGGCGCAAGTGAATTAGATTGAAACGTTGATTTGCGTCTTATGTACTTTCTGATTGTAAAGGCGTTTAATTATGTCTTATTTCTGTTCCAATTTTTGGGGTTAGGAAGGAACGTAGTGGAAAGTAGCGATGGGGAGAGCGGAACGGACGTACAACCCCCGACACAAATACACACTCCATGTGTGCTGCACTGGCTGCGAGGCTTGACAGTTAAGCCTGCTACCATGCTGAGATCCATACGAAGCATTCAAGCAAGAACGATCCACTTGTTGTCACTACTTGATGTAGCTGTTGTAGCATCCATGAGAAATGGTGCTCGACGCCATGGGTGGGGTGCATTTTGGTGCATGCTCCTCGTCTGTGGAGTGGCGTGCTTTCGTTGCACCGCCACGTGTGGGGTTGTCCCGAATTAGCCCGCAACACCTCCGCCTTTCGCTGAAGAGCGTGAGCTTTTGGGAAGTTGCCAGCAATGTAGCCGATGCAGCAAAGTGTACGACGGGTTCATACCTCCAAAAAGTCAACTCTGCGGCCACCACGTTTCCCCATCCGAAAGAGTATGGATGGTTGCCGCCAAAGACGACCTTTGCCAAAATCGTGAAGTTGTGTTCTGTCGTTTGTTTGAAACAGGATGAACAGAGGCACCGAAAAAGTTCGCGAAAGCAAGCCGTGGCACTTTCTGCCAGGAACACAAGCTTCCGTATGAAGGAATAGCCTCACACTTGGTTAAACAAACAACCCGCGCAGACAGCTGGCTTTCTTGCTGCCAAGGTCATTCCACAAGCCTCGTGTGAGCCGTTTCGGCTGTCTCGTTACAGTACGACGTCGATGTGCGGACACATGAATCGCGAGAACTGGATGGTTCATGTCGACCTGCAGCGCAGAGAAGGGTTGATGCAAATTCCATGGCCAAGGCACCTTTCATTGTGTTCTGTTTCCCTTGGCCATGCTTCGGGCGGGGCAGTGGTTTTCACACCAACTGCAGCGGTAAGGCGAGCTGCAGGCGGACCTCGACCAAAGTGCTGCAATCATCTCAAGGGGCTGACTTGTTCATGTGCCCTCCTCGATTCCACAGGCATTGCACAGAGGCGAGCGCCACTCTTGTCAGCTCCTGAGTGCACGGGGGCTTACCGGGGAAGGGGGGGATTTGAACAACAGCCTGTCGTGAGTCCGTGCGGAGGCTTGTCCTTGACCTGGATGAGATGCTGGCCTGCCCGCCATGGAAGTTTTTACTCTCAATGAGTCAATTTGCATCTTGTAACACTCGCGCATCATTAGAGCGCATTAGAGCGCCCACTGATGCCACCGAAGCTCAAGGCCTCACAGTGAAGCCCAAGGAAGTAAAGTATAGTTGTTTCTGGAGTCGCCAGGTGCGAGTTTGCTGCAAGGGCGTCCACCACAATCGGAACCTGAGGGTCGGTGGCTTCGCCCTGTTTGCATTGATGCGTTGACACATCTTGACGCGCATGTGGAAGTTGCGCGGGCAGTTGATTTCCACGTGCCGATCGAAGTGGGAGCTCTGCCGAAAGCCACGACGCTCTCGCCTCAAAGCCTCAGCACAGCCGCGAAGTCCCGTTCTGGTTTCGAAGGGCGTCACGTTCCTTAGGTAGGAAATGGATGATAGAGAATTGCAGCTTCAGATCTCCGTCAGCTTCTTCATCGGTTTGCTGCAGCAGCTTCTTGTGAGAACGAGACTTGCACGAGCATCAAGTTGTTTTGTTGGTCGTAACCCAAGATTCTTGGACAACTCCGAAGCGGCTGTGCAAGGGCTTTGAAGATGGAAATGCTCATAGCATCTCGAACATCTCGAACATCGTAGCTCGGCACCTGGGGCGTACGTTTCTCCTCGGAGTGTAAGGTTCGACTGCGGAGTCGCCTTGCGGCCTGGTTTGGAGCGCCAAGCTCGGAGCTCCGAATTGCATCGAATTCCGCACCCCTTTGGGGCTCAGCTCGAGACTTGTATGCTGTCCGCGGCTGTCCAGTGCCCTCGCATGTGCCCCAACACCCCGAGTGCCCTTGTTCATAGCATATGACGCTTATGCCATTACAGTTCAGCTGCTGAGGAGCTTCATGGAGTGGATCAAGGAGCTTCTGTGATGCTCAATGAAGTTGTGCCAGGGGCTATCTTGAACACCTTAAGGTTCAGGTGCTCGTGTGACAACGCCGTGCATCTATAGGCAGCTGGAGCTGTCCGGATTGCACATGTTATCGCAGCTCCTGTCTAGACAATTTCTACCATGAATGTTTTTGGGTGGGTGGTGCCGATGGGTAACCCGAGAAGTCCTGAGAAGCTGCTGGACATGTTGCGGATCATATTAACTGCCCATTGTCAACTTCTGTTGTGCCCGGGCGAACGGATTGGGAATGCATCTTGTGTCTCAAGTTCTCAGTTGGGAGGAGAGACGGCTTGAAGGGCTGATTGAAGGCCAGCCAGGATTGAGAGTCTCCAGGATCTTACGCCCAGCAGTTTAGCAAAGTTAGCAGTGAGCAATCTTCTCAAGCTGTCGCAGCCATTTAGATTGTCGTAACTGCGTCAAGCATCCCTGGGTCGCTGCCATGAACACCTTAAAGCGAATTGGCAAGACATGCCACGAGACTTGTCCTCGAATTCCTGCAAAGCTGCTCAGGACCTTGGATCTTGCGAAAACCGAGCTCACCCCAGAGCTCTTCACCAAGGCTTCGGGCATCGGAAGCAAATCTTGTTGGCAAACCGTTTCTCTCTCTCTGCAAGTCCTTGCCGGAGGCGCAACTTGAACGCGCCGCGTGGTGCCTCGGCAGGGCCTTGGCGGGCGGGCTTTGAGGGCACATGCATTGGCGTTTGTTTTTGCTCCGACTCTGATTCGAAGCCATGCCGTAGCTGTTACCCCAAGGCCTTTTGGACGACATCTTCGGCAAGCTTTGTGCTGAAACCAATGTTTCCCGCAGGCCCCACTGTCCTGCTCACCAACCGTTCACAGCCATTGAATCATGCTGCGTACTCATTGGTCATGCCATCTTGATGTTGCTACTGAAGCGGCCAAGACTTCTGATGTGGCTGATTTAGCCTGGCTGATCTGCCAACTGCTCTCAGAGAGCACATTCGCGTGTGTACACGGGTGAGTGTGTGGATGGATAGCATCTGCAAATTATGCACTCACCCTTTCAGAACGCCTTCGTGATTCAGGGCTCAGAACACCACACGGCCCGATGCAGGATTGGATTTTAAATCGGAAAAAGCAACAACGTGTAGAAACTTAACGACAAAACCTAAAGCCGCCGGAGAGGCGAGCCCCGAAAACGTGGCCGAGGCCAAAGGTTTTCTTTTAAACCAGAGCCGGGGCCCCCTAAAGCCCGAGGCCAAATTTTCCTTTTTAAACACGAGCCCCGGGTTTCCAGTTGGGCCCAACAGGGCCATGATGGCCGGATCCGGGTTATAAGTTTTGCCTAAGCCACGTTGGCCGGATCTGGGTTTCAATTTCAACAGTTCAGCGCAACAATCGAAGCCAGTTCGAAGCCAGTTCGAAACAGCAGAGTTCTAGAATATTCTGGAGAACTTGGGGTTGGGTGAAGGCAGAGTGAAGTGGAAGGCCATTTGACGAGTTCGTGGTTTGATCAAGACGCCAAATCGCCTCAGAGGCCTTGGCGAGCGCCATTGGCACAGCTGCTCGATAGGTCGCAGTAGGTCGCAATGGCAGTCCAATTTGCTATACACGCGTCTACGTGTTAGTAGAGCGCGTTCTCGCCGATTGTGAGGGGGTCTCCTCGAATCTCTGAATCTCTGAATCTCCTGGGGGGTCACAGAGCATGATATTAGGATGCATCACTGAGCTGCGCACCATCTTTTTTCACGCACACCAGACTTTGAAGACAAAAAGCGCGAGCCGAGCTCGCCATAGCGAACGTTCGTCGCACATTCCCAGGAGTTCCCAAGATGGCAAAAAAAGAGCCGCTCTGCCAAAAACTGACACGCGTAATTGTAGTGCCAAGAGAGAAAGAAAGAACGAAAAGACGAGAACTGCAGAAAGCGGGCGTTCGTTCAGAGTGCTTGCGCTCTGCTCTTTGCTCCCTCCCTCCCTTCCCGATGTTTTGATGAAAAAACACAACAATGTCTTTTTCCATTACAACACCTTCCTCACTCTGCTTATATTACAGACCAAAAACATTCCGTCTCTTTTGTGCGCTCTCCGTCTTTTCTTTCTGACGCTCTTAGCTCTTGGTTAGAGGATCGCCTGCCGGGTGCTTGGAGACTGGCAGTCGGGGTTCTGGCACTCGTTTTCAGCTGGGAAATTTGTGACATGTCTTGGACAGGGGTCAGAACAAGTTCAAGGCCGGATGGCACCTAAGAAGCTCACCACGTCTCCGTAGGCCCTAAACAATTACGCATAGGTCAACCTGGGAACCCAAAAACCGTCCGCAGAATTTCTCGCAGGCTCAGTTTTTCCCGTGCTGCAGAGTGAGCACGCAGTCACCCTCCCGGCTGCCTCACCCCGTCTCGCGACCGCCCTCCCTGACCCCGCGGACTTGTAATTTCGCAGTGCCGGAAATCTCAACTTTACCACGAGCATTTCAGCAAAACGCAGGCAGGGTGCTGTCAGAAGCACTGCCTCTGCCTTCGGTGCTTTCTGACACAAGGTGTTCTGCGAGAGGAGGGGTTGCTATGTGTTTCTTGCTGTTTCTGCTTGTCGCAAGCTGTTCTGCAAAACGATCACCGTGTTGCTCTTTCTCACGCTGGCGCTTGTTGTCAGAGGCTTGTCTGAGTTTCGGGGTGGATCAGTGCTGCTTAAGGGTTGGGCTGGGGAGTGGCATTTGCCGCGTTTGCGAGCGCCTGGGAGCGTGGAAGCTCGCAGGAATGCGAGCCAAGATCTGCCAGATGACGACACTCACGGAAAGACGCTGGTTGAGGGTTCGGGGGAGAGGACTCATCCTTACTCGCAGCATCTCGCAGCCCTCGTGTTTAGAACGCAAGCTAGGTCGTCTGGGCCGGAAACTGTTGCATGTTGAGTGTGCCATGGCAGGAACACGGCTTGCTGCGGCGTATCCTGAGACCACAGGTCGGGGCACCTGACGGCATTCGCCTTCCCTGCCTCAGACCGATCCTCCAGAAACCAGTATGTCAAGTATGGCATGACAACATATATAGCTGCTCAGGTGCCTCGCCAGAGTTTTCCTGACCTTCTCGGGAAGTTTTCGCGGCAATCCTCTACAGAGCTGGTGGTGGGCTCATTTTGGAAGTTTGGTGGTCTGCCAGCTCCGTTACTATGTCAGCAGTCTTCTTTGAAGCCTGCGTGGCTCAAGCGGCGAGAAAGCATGGATCAAGCGGGGGGTGCCACCAATGATACTCGCAATACTTTCCTACATTCATTTTGTTAAAAGCATGCTAGCAATCGCAGAGTACAAAGACTGTAGCAGGGAGTGATGAACAGCGTTGTTACAAGTGGTTTAATAACGGTAAAACATGGCTTTGAACATAACATTACTTTAGGATAGCAAACATAGCAACGTTATAAACCACCATGCAATAGAAATGATGGCAGCCCTCGAAGCTACAGTTGCGGGGTTTAGCCTAATCCTCCTTTTGGTTTATGCACAGAGCACCCTGAGCTACACCCTTCCCCACCCAAACCCACTTGAACGCCTCTAAGACCCGACAGAAGCCCGTAGGCCAGGGACACTCGCGCCGTGCGACGGCCTGTTGTAGCCTCCTTGCATCAAGGAGGTGGTCGTCGTCGGTAAGCATGGAGGCGCCTCTTCCGCAAAGATCTCTACAGCTGGGTAAGTACCTTTTTCCGTGATTAGGAGTAGCCCGTGATCAGAGGTCTGCAGGGATCAGGGCCGAAGCTTTCAATTGTGTAGACTAGGAGTTAAGACATCTGTGCTTGGGGGCTTACTGTAAGCATCTGTGGGCGTCGGACCGGCGGGTTTAAACATGCTCGTGTCCTCTGTTTCATTGCGTTGAGGCCGTGCGTGGTGAAAGCACCGCAGCTGCGCAGCTGCGAGCGTGCTGGCCTCATTGTGAAGGGTTCTTCATCGGACTGCAAGGGTATTCCGTTTGAGGCGCTTACACATGTAGCGGGCTGACTGAGTGCAAGCTCGAGTTGAGGTACCTGCTTTGCCAAACACTGTAAACTGGTAGCTTGAGACCGAAACGCCCAGAAATTCTAAGCTGCGGCCACATCTCACCCAGCTAGTTTTTTCGAGCTGGAGTTGGAAAAAATCAGCTTTGCAGGCTGCTGCGGCAGGGGCCAAGCACTAGTGTGGGGGCCCAAAGACTTGACTCTCGTCAGCAGCTCCGCATGCAGATCATTTGCGTTCATTCGCGCGTAGCACATGATACAACAGAAACGTCACGACTCAATGGTTCTGCTCATGGCTGCTGCTGGCTTCCTGGATTCTTTTTCGAGGCCGAGCCTGCTGCAGGCACCTCTGGGCAGCAAGGAGGGTGCCGGCCTCAGGATCCAGGATGTCAAGACTCCGAACAGTCTGCGTCTCTTCCAAGCTTGTCAACTCTGCTGTGCAACCCGAAGTATGGAAGACCGGTAGGCCTTCCCAGCAGGCGCTCGGGAGCGTCCGGGGTCTCAGCAGTGACCTGCAGACAACATCAGCAGGGCCCGCGATAATTTGTTCTGCTGTTTTGGTCGCGCTTGCAGTTGGTTCTACAAATTTCGCACGTCACAAGAATTGGTGCAATTGGCAGCATGTTCCTGTCAAGGATGTTGTTCGCGGTTCGCCCATTGCACGATTGAGGACCATGGCACACTGTATCACATACTCAAGTACATTGTTCTGTAGTGTGTCTTAGTGTACCCTACAGTAGCCTTCACTACAAGTGCTACTCGAGAACGTGTCTAAGGTTGAGCCCACGCGCGCGGCTGCTGCGCGGGCTGATGACAGATCGCCCGTGCAGGTGGCTGCGCTCACTAGGGGCCCAAAAAACTACATAAACATAAGGATCCTACAAACAGGGTGTTTCGGAATCCCCCTTGTAGGGGCCCTTATACCCCAATAGTAGGATCCTTATGTTTATGTGGTTTTTTGGGCCCTTACTCACAGAAGATCTAGGATTCTTTGCAGATTCGGCTGATGAGGCTTGCGTTTAGCTGCTCTTTGAAGCTTGAAAGTGGTTTACTCATCAAGCCGGCGGCCTTTCCAGCAGTGGGCAAAATGAAGCGTGAAACTCTGTACAAATCCCACGTGGCAAATGCCGAACTGTACACCCAATGCAGCAGAAAAATTGTCTGGGCATTCAGGGCATCGGCGCAAGCTCTGAGAACTTGCAGGAGGCGGTGGTCATGACTCACTTCCTCTGTGGCAGCGCATACCTGTGGGATACAGTGTTTTTGTTTCTGGTTGCGCTGATCAATTGCTGGGCGTGTCATAAGGCTTCTGTCCTGTGTGGCTTTGTGAGGTGTGCAGTCTGTGGGACATGAGGATGAGACCTTTGAGGGTAAGGATGTGGCGGAGCCCGTGCTGCGTGCTGCAGCATCTGCCACTTCTTAATTCGTTGAGTAAGGTTAGAGCTGTCAGCTCTACGCCACGAGAAAGCAACCATCGAGACTGCTCATCAATCGCATGGTCGGTATGTTGGGCTTGTTGCAGAACTGCTGGCGGCAGGCAGCAGATGGGCGCGCCGAGCTCCAAGAGGTCCTCCGAGACAGCGCTGCAGGGACATCAAGTTTCACAGCAGGGGCTTGGCTAGCGCGGGTCGGCACTTCTACTGCAAGGATCCCTGCAACAAGAAAGGCCAATTTTGGCCTCGAGCTATGCACAAGCATGCTGCCTCAATCTCTACATTTCGCTCCACTAGATGTCCCATTTCGATTCCATGACAGGTCGGCGAGGTACGGCACAGGCGTGGCAAGTTTCGGCGCTGCGTGTGTTTTGGGTTGACCAGCCAGCGCTAGCATTGCTAGCCGGGCAGCCTGCAGTTCTGATGTTAGCCACACCGACAGTCATTTTGATAGCTCGGGCCGTGTAAGATGGTTCTTGTTTAAAAGCTAAATTCTTGTCTACCGCAGACCGTCCTGCGTGTTCCTAAGCCCTGCAAATGTTTTCTCTCCTGGTGGTGAGGGGCCGAAGAGAATAATGTCCCGGAGCCCTGCGCCCTAATCCTGCACCCCAATCCGGATCCTGCCAGGACCCCGCCTCAGAGCCCGAGCTCGGTCCGGCACCAAGCTTTGTTGTCATACATTGTTACAGAACACACTGAGAATACAGTATATAGTCATATATGATGTCTAGCGTCTTTTTGTTTATAGTACACTAACCAAGCCCCAAAATGTCGCAATGTGTTGTCTAGGATCAGGGTAGTGTCGCTCTCGTGCAGGTCTATGCAGGCGTTTAGACGACTTCAGACTATTGTGGTTGTAATTTGGTGAAGGGGGGGGTACTTCTTTTCAACGATGATTCTAGAACTAGCGTTCTTGCCGTGCGCCTTGCGGCGCTCTTCCATTCTGCATGTTGTGCCGTCTGATGCTCTGCGACGTTGTCCAGCACAGCAGCGCCTCTTTCTTCACAAGCGTTTTTTTGTTGACAAACAGCATCGAGTTTTTCGAGGTGCGGTGGACCAAACGCTACAAGGCCGGTGATTGTCCACTTGGCCCTTAACAGCTGGCACTTTGACATTTTTATGTTGGAGCCCTTCTACAGCCCTCCGCAGGGGAGGCAAACCATCCATGGCCTCCAGCCTGCCGGTTAGCTGCTCCTGCCCCCTGCCGCATCGCAGGCAGCCGGTGTTGCCCAGGCGGCGCCGGCGCAGTGGAGCGTTGGCAAGGCGCTTAAGAATGTGGACTTCATGAATTTGCCTAGGCAGAGGCTGTTCTAGCTATCGATAAGAATCTGTACGTGTTAGGAAGTAAAAAGTCTACATTTTGGGGTCCGGTAGGTAGACCAGCTAGACACTGAGGTTCATCTCGCCACCCACTGCAGTGCCTCCCCTGCAAGTTCAAGCAGCGCGAGGCCGGAATCGTAGCTCCTACGCTCCACGTAGGCCTTTGATTATATAGAATGTTGGTCGTGTTGGTTGCAACTGGGGGGTGTTGGGCGCCGGCGTGTTGAGAATGGGTGAGGTGCGTGTTGGGAGTAGCCCGGAGGCAAGTCCGGAACGGGCCAGGCTCAAGTGGGGAACGCCCCAGGCACACGTGTTGGGAACACGTCGCTGCCCGGAACGGCAAAGAGCACGAACAATCTCCAAAACCTTGCCCTGAACCTGTTACCCCCGGAATCCATGAGTCACAGACAATTCCTGTGTCATCGTCAATGTTAGTTAGGAATCCTCCTAACCTATCTGAAAGGGATAGGGGTCTATGGCCAGCCCCCCCCCCCCTCCCCGCCTATGTATGGGCCTTATGGGAGGTGCCTACGTATACTAGCGGTTTCCTAGGACCCCTATAGCTGAGGGTAGACGGGTACCTGATAAAATGGGAACCTATCCCAGAACAGATAGGCGGCTACTTTTCAAGCCTCAAAAGAAGACTGCGTACCCAAGTCCAATCGAAAGAGAACTTTAAAAGAATACCAAGAGTAGGGTCGTCACTGCAAAACCTAATTCTGGGTGGCAAACGTTCTCAACTCGACCCCTGTCCGTGCCTACACGCTGGCTGCGTTCTCGACTCACCCTCGGTGCTTTTTCGACACGAGCCTCCCCCATTCCCGACACGCTCCCCCGTGTTCCCAACCTGCCCTCGGCCTGCTCCCAACACGTGTAACCGACTCAACTGTCATCCTGATTATATATCATTCTGTGGTTTAGGGTTTAGGCTTTACGAGTGGGGCTGTACAGTCAGGATAGAGTCCCGCAACCCACCTTAATCCCAAACCGGTCGTCAGGGCATTTCGAGGAATATTGAATGGTCTATGGAGGAAAGGGTTCCTTTAAGGCCGAATTGAGCGCTGTTGCAGGCTGAAATTTGCTTCTTTCATTCCGCCAGTGTTGACAGAACAGCCATGGACAACCTCAAGCCAGCCATGAACAATGCCGAATCAAGAGAGTAGTGTCGCCGCGCTGTCCAATTGGTGAGACTGCAGAAGAGATGGCTTGGCTTGTTCCCTGTGCAGGGCGGTTGCCGACGAGGCGCCGAGTGTCCCTTCTGTCACTTGGTGCTGATTGTGAAAGCTGTTCTCAGACCGGGCTTTTGAATCGCTGTAGTTGTGAGATGAGTAGTTGCAGAGTCGTAGGTAGAACAGTGAAAACGCTCTGAGAAAGCGTTGTCGCTGTTGCTGCTGTTGTTTGTTTGTTTGTTTGTTTGTTTGTTTGTTTGTTTGTTTGTTTGTTTGTTTGTTTGTTTGTTTGTTTGTTTGTTTGTTTGTTTGTTTGTTTGTTTGTTTGTTTGTTTGTTTGTTTGTTTGTTTGTTTGTTTGTTTGTTTGTTTGCTTGCTTGCTTGCTTGCTTGCTTGCTTGTTTGTTTGTTTGTTTGGTCGGTCGGTTGCTTGGTTGGTTGGTTGGTTGGTTGGTTGGTTGGTTGGTTGGTTGGTTGGTTGGTTGGTTGGTTGGTTGTTGTTGTCGTTGCCACGCCGCTGTTGCTGTGGCTGTGGCCGTGGCCGTGGCTGTTGCTGTTGCTGTTGCTGCTGCATGCGCCTGATGATCTGATCGCCCCAAGGCCACATTTGCTGGCGCTCGAATTCATGAATGCACGATAACCTGGCCAAGTTGCACGCAAAAGTCCAGGGTCCCTGAAGCCATGGTTTAATAACAATGAGCAAGTAAACTTGATAGCTGCGCCGGAGACGGGCGCGTGGCTGAGCGCTTGGTGATTGGGCGGTGCTTGTCAAGTCTCTTTCGGTTCAGAGCTTCGCGACGCTCGCACAGTTGTGTCTATGCAGTGAGCATGAGGCCATGAGGCTGTTTTGTCTCTAATTTGTTTTCGTGCCTGTTAGTGCAGAGTTTCACCTCATGAGCGGGGAAGTTTGGGGAAAAATGCTGGGAGTGTGCTTCTCATGTGACAGTCGCTGCATGTCGTTGGCCGTTTTTGTTTAGGATTTGGGGTGTGGTAAGTCAGATGGGATTTCTTACAGCTGGCAGTACCTTTGGGGCCCTCCGGGCAACGATTCTGACAACATTATGCCGGCGTAGACCCCAAACAGTGAGGAGGGCCAGAAAAGGCCAAAGAAGGCCAGAAGAGCACCGACACTCCCGGGGACAAAAAGTACAATCGTGGGGGGCCGAATTCCCTTGGGGGTCAAAAAGACGCCAACCACTGGCTGGGGGTTTCGGCTTTGCACGCGTGTGGAACTTGGGGGCCAAAAGACCCAGCTCATGGTGCTCATGATGCTCATGATGCTCAACCCCAAAATCGCTACCCCATAATACTAACCCCCAGCACCCAGCCGCAGGGTTGACCCTAAACCCTAAACCCCCCTAAGCCCTGTATTTTGATCCTGCCCGCAGGTGGTCTCAGAGGCCACGAGAGGCCGGAATTCGCGCGAAACCACAGCGGGAGCATCGAAATGCAACGGAATTCGCGCGAAGCCACAGCGGGAGCATCGAAACGCAACGGAATTCGTGCGAAACCACAGCGGGAGCGTCGAAGTGGTCGGCAACCTAAGTGGCCCCCCCAGAAGAGGCCTGAAGAGGCCACGAGAGGCCGGAACTCGCGCGAAACCACAGCGGGAGCATCGAAATGCAACGGAATTCGCGCGAAACCACAGCGGGAGCATCGAAACGCAAAAAAGCTCGCGCGAAACCACAGCGGGAGCGTCGAAACCAAGGACCCGCGCGCGCCGTTGCGGTCGGCAACCTAAGTGGCTTCCCCAGAAGAGGCCTGAAGAGGCCACGAGAGGCCGGAATTTGCGCGAAACCACAGGGGGAGCGTCGAAATGCAACGGAATTCGCACGAAACCACAGCAGGAGCATCGAAACGCAACGGAATCGCGAAACCACAGCGGGAGCGTCGAAACCAAGACCCCGTCCCACCGCCGTGCGCGCCGTTGCGGTCAGCAACCACTTCCTTTACTCTGAACGTAAGAACCCCATTGTGCAAGCGCTGTTTGGGGAATTTAGGGGTTGCAGTTTAAGGACTCGGAAGACTGACTGGATCTGTTTGGCCACACCGATGAAATCCATTTAGCAACCGCGGCTCGCAGAAATAGTTCACCCGAAGTGCTTGTCAGTGTGGTGGTGTGCGCACCTCAGATGTTCCACGAATTTTTGAGTCGCTCGCGTCTAATGCCGACCGCCCACCACTCTAATCGCTTTATGAAAGGATGTTGACGCAGCCGATCAGCCGATTGTGGCTTGGAGCAGCGCGACGCTCCCGGCATGCAGTGCGCGTGATCCGGGCCCCCGCGCGCACGCGCATGCGCGACGCACACTTTCACACCAGCACATCCCAGGCCCGTGAACGGCCCTGTCCTCGCCCGAGAAATCCCCATCTGACAGGGCCATGCCCGGGATGGGGAGCCCAAAAAACGGTTTTTGGCGAAATGCCAGTGCCATGTTTACTCAGGTGGCGAAGGCGCGAAATCTGCGTCGTTTCAACGCCCTCACGCACGAGGCACTTTCCAGCTGTTTGATGTTCGCAACCCTCACGTTTGCTACTTTGCAGGTGCAAGTGGCCTTCACATTCATCCATTTTGCTCCAGCGTCGGAGGCGTCCGGATCTGCACGGAATCGTTGCAAGTGCGCCTTATTCCCTTGTAGTAAAGCCACCTGAGGCCCCGCTCAGGAAGTCTGCCTCTGCACCAAGTCTTTTGACACATGCAGCGCACGTGCCTCAGTGCTTTGGAGTGAGGTTTGGAGTACCACAACACAGTGCAGTACAGTGTGCGGTAGTATCCTTCGGCATTGCAACTTGCTCACGCTTTCGCGAGGCCAGTCGCCTTGCCCGTGCCTTACCGTGCAGTTTCGCGCGTTGCTTTGTTATTAAAATGTTCAGTGACATATTAACGTAGCTTGCACTCTACATGTGTGGCATGCTGTGGGCTGTGGGCTGTGGGTCTATTGCCGCGCGCTTCATTTGCATGCCGTTTGTGCGGCTGGTGACGCAAAACGAAGAAGCATGTTTAGATCGCTCAAACCCTGAGGCCGCCCCAAGCACCAGAGCCGCCAGAACAAAAGAAGGCCGAGAAGAGCAAAGCCGCCGCACGCGCCAAAGCCGCTGTGCGGTTATGAGTACCAATTTTTTACCTGGTTCAGAAATGCCCCTCCATAGTTAAACCTGCAAGCCCTAAAACCTTAAAACCTTCCACGCTCAATTTTGTGACCACGCTCTATTGTGACCACCCTCCATGTTCAAAAGTAGGTGATATGACTCTGTACTCTCTCCCCATATATATACACATAATATATATATATATATGTACACATATACATATCTACACACATACACACGCACACGCTCACGCGCATAGGAATGCTGTATAGCTTTCCATAGTGAAGAATTTCGTCTCGTGTAGTGGTGTGATCGTATGCAGTGCAGCCGTGTGCCTGAAGGATTTCTCCTTCGAGCCTTTGGCAGAGCGATTGGCAAGCAAGGACCGACCTGGAACTGGCAAAGCTTGACTTTGAGCTATACACCTCGGTACAGGATCTCGCGCGCCGATGCTCTGGCTACGCAGAGGCACAGGCAAGGTGCATCTTAGTTAACGGCGTAACATGTGGATGCTTTTCGTCGGTGGTGGGTAATGGTGGGTAGCCTTACATGTTGGTCAGACATGCTCAGAAAGTGCACACTTTTCGGCATTGTCCTGTCATGGTGCAGACCCAGCAGCATCCATTCGCTCACTGCCCTCTGCAAACATCTCTCTGGCGCAAACATGACAGTGATTTTGACTTCCCTTCCGCGGACCTGCGAGGCAGCAATGCAAGCCTGCACCGACGAGGTCTTCAGCACTTTCAGTCAGCACATCGACACCTGCCTGCGCGAGTGCTTGCCGAAGGCATGTGTTGACAGTCGAGCTGTGCGTGAATGCATGGGGCGAGCTGCTATGGCAGTACTTGCACGAGGCCCAGGATGCAGGCCTCAGCGTTCCCCGGCTTCATTATCGTTCATAGACTGTTGGACATGAGGCGGGAGTTCGTTGGGTTGACGAGACATGATCAAGAAGAACTGGAGGCGTTGCCTTTGAGGCAGGGTACTCGTACCACCGAAGACGTACTAGCAACTAGTAGGTGAACGACGCCATACACTCACAACTTGCAACTGTTTATGCTACGTAGGCTGCTGGCAAGAACCGCTGCTCTCGCTCTGTCTCTCCGGTCGGGTCAAAGGCACATCGTGCTTATAGCATTATAGTGCTTCAATGCGGATCATGGCGGTGAGCTGTCATAAGAACTTTGTTGAGGAGAGTCGCAGTTGTGACAGTCTTGTCTTGGTATGACGAAGCCGAACTCTTGATGTCTCTGGTGTCCTACACCTAATCGAAAGGAGGACATTGTCCAGCACAAAAGAAGGCAGACTGCCATCAACTGCGCAGGAGGTGTGACTATCGCAAAATCCCTCATAGTCTGTGTGGCCCAAACCCAGGCCTTGGCAGCTTACCTGGAAAACTGCCCTCAGATCGCCGATCGTGGTAACGAGGTGCTGCCTTGGGCGCCTTGGCTCTTGGAGCTCTCTTGTAGGGATTGTAGAGCCTACTGTAGTGCAGGCGCATGGTATGCCATGGTATGCCATGGTATGCCTCTTGTTTCGTGCATGTGGGAAACCAAGGTCCGCAAGCTTTCAGGGCATAAGGCCCGGCAGCAGCGCATGGCAGAAACGATCCAAGCGCGCACCATGTTCTCGAGCTCGTCACACTGTCCTGCCATCGATTCATGTCACCCTTGAGAGACCCGAAGCCTTGTAGCCAAGCCTTTGGACCCAGACCATTGACAAGCCCACGATGCAGCAGCTTGCCCCAACGATCATACTGCTCATCGCGGAGATCGTGGCAAACTGTTGGCAAGCAAGGCATGTGTTTTTTTGGGGAAGGCGAGCGAAGATAAGATGATGCATAAGCCCAGGCCGGACCTTGTTTGAATACACCGGGAAGAAAATAGCGGTGTGCTTCATCCATGTGTCCATCTCCCGTCCATGCTGAGGAGTGTCCGACTGTCTTGAAAGAGCTGACCAGCTTCGTTGCAGAGTTGGAAGGTGCCAAGAGCCGCAGCTGCAATGAGCCTGAGTCCAAATCTCTTAAGCACTGCATGTGCCCGAGCACGTGCCATGCATGCCGCATATTGCCGCATTTTGTGGCAAGCGTCGATCTTCCACATCCCAGGAAGAAGAATGCCGGCTTCCTGAAGAAGAAGCTCGCGTTCATCGTTAAGATGATCGGTGACCCGATGGCCATCAGAGAAGGGGTCCGACGTGGCCCAGGTAATTGTAAACGCTTGCAGCCAGACCGACAGGGTTTATGGGAAGGCCTCAAAAGAAGGGAGGGGTCTCAGAATAGGGCGGGTCACGGGGTGTCCCAGCAAAGGTCTGGAAAAGGCACAAAAAGCTGAAGGGGTTTGAGCAGTGCCCCCTCTGTAGGAGTCGCCGACAGGTGGGACCCCCCACGGCATCGGTTTGCAGCTCCTCCAAGCGATGGGGGGCCGGGGGGGGTCCCACAGGGCCGGGGGGCGTCAACATTTGGCATGGGGGGACCGTGTCTGCTTGTTCCAAACGCTTCTCGGCAGGAAGCCGAGGCGGATACTACCAGCAGAGTCCACGAGTCTCAAGACAGTAAAATGCCCGAGCCATGACCTGGGAGCACCAGATGACTGTCCAAGCTTGGAGTTTGTCCGCACAGCTCCGCCCGTTGGCGCTGTTCGCGCCAGTAGAAGCCACGATCTTTGCCCTTTGAGCCCCCCATCAGTGCTTCTTGACCGGAGGGTCTGCTGACCCGGAGGGAGCTCTTTGGCTTTCTTTGCACGGCTTGCCGGCTTTGAGGCAGGCTTCTTAACAGGACCGGTGTTGCGTCAGGTCTTGCTACAGGCACTTGCAAGGCTGCAGTTTTAGGAAGGAAAGCCACTTCCTTTGGAACTGCCGACGGAACTTAACACGTCGTGGCCAGAGCTCGTCCAATACAGAAGGCCATCCTCGCATCTGCAGGGAAGATACTATGCCATCCGAACTGGCAAACAAGTAAGAGGCTAACACGTTTTTTGGCCATTGGACCAAACGCTATTGAAATTAACATGAAAGGTGCGCATTATTCGCTCCTGCGCCTCCTTACATGCCACAGTCCTACTCACCCACCCCTCACTTGAGGCCAGAGAGATCTTCAGCATCCACCTAGCACGCGCTCCAAGCACAAACGGTGCAAACCAAACATTTGCTGCAAAGGGCTGTACGGAAGCGTTGGTTTAACTTATTCAGGTGGAACAACATTCTCTCCTCAGGTTGCCCCAAATTGGCTGCGGTAGATGCATTAAATGCTGCGGGCATTGCGTGTTATAGTCCAACACTTCCAAAGCGCAGTCAAGGGTGGCCACCGCCCAGAAGTGCTCGATCTTGTGGCTGGCATTGCGTCTAGGAAATTGCGTGGGTGCCCTTGGCACCAAGGTGTGACAATTGGCACACAGACAAAGACATGAATTTTGTGATATTTCCGCCATTGTTCCACTGCTTGTTCTAAACATCATGGGCCCATCGACAGCTGCAGCTGGGGGCACGTTTGGCTGTATATCCACCTTCCTTCTGTTTATCGCACCCACGGCAATCTTACCACCAGAGTTCGGCACCTCTAGTGGAAGGCGAATTTCTGTGGGCGTAATAGCCCAAAAGCAGTCCAGCCAACCGGGAAAGCGGCGCTTTGAACCCCCGCAACATTGTGGATGCAAAGAAGAGGTGTGTGCAGCGGAAACTTCTCCAGGCTGGCGGCCAGGCGCATGCAAAGGTTGACTATGGGCATATGGAGGCCTTCCCAATGGCAGTGAACATTCATCGATGCCCATTCACATTCAAAGCAACCAAGACAATTTCAGTCAGTGGTATTGGAAATTCGAGATTCTACAGCTTTACATATCTGATCATCTGGCCGTCCAGACAGTCAGTTTCTGTGTCTATAAAGCCCAGAGTAAACATAAAAAGTTTGGCTGGGGTTACTTCAATTCTGGAAGTCCCAAAGAAGCTTCCCTGCGGAAGGAATGTGTAAGCTTTTAAAGTGCAAAAAAATGTTCTGGCAAAAGCGACAAAGATGCAACCAAGATGCTCAACAAATTTAGTGCAGTGACAAGAAGAGCAAAGAAAGGGAAAGGAAATGCAAAGAACGGGCAATGAAGAGGGAGACATGGTTGGCCGTGCAAGACGCTTCTTGCAAGGCAACCTAGATGGGTCGTCGGAAAAAAATTGAAAGTGACTTTGGCGTACCCAAAGCTTGTACGTGGCAAGGAGCGTTGTAAAGGGAACTTGGGACGTCAACTATGAAAGCAGCTAACCACAAGTTCCTTGCAATTGCAATTGTGGGCGTCCATTGCTTCAATAATATGGAAAGTAGGCTTATGGGAGGTTTTTTTTGAAGCCAAAAAACGCTCTTTGAGATGTGTGAGGAGAAGGTGTTCATTGCTGAAAAAACGCTCAACTTGGCTCCAAAAATTATTTTGAAACTAGGCTTATGGGTTTTTTGGAGCCAAAAAAACGCTCTAAAACGCGAATAATCCCTGGATTACCACAGGAGACGCCTTGGAAGAGGCGATCTCTTCGAGATGGGGAGCAGGTTTCGCTCGATTTGCTCTCTCCAAGGAGAGCGACCAGAATCACTCCCGCTGCAGCAGGGAAAATCGTAAGTTCAAAGGCAGTTGTACAGGAGTGACTGCCGATGACCTCTTGATAGCGCCAGAATAGAAGGTTGCGTGTGGCGGCGAGCATGGTCGGTTGTCACAACTGGTTTGAGCCCAAACCACCGCAGTCAGAGCAGGAAGGAGGGGGCGTTAAGTACGAATGCACGCCTTTCACAGCAATAATCTTCATAAGAGAGAGGGTTTGAACCAGAAGTGTCTACGCGGAACAGCAGTAACATCAACGCGTCTCCTCTTACTCTCTCTTTGCCTCTCAACCTCGAGAATGTTCTGAACTTCCAAGCTTAGTCTCTTGCACTTCCTGTGCTGCTGCTGTCGTCCATCATGGTCCCAACCCCAGCTCAGGACTTTTCCTCAGTCCTACTTCATGCGGAGACCACTTGGGCCACAGACGACACCGTCGTGCAAGACCGACCAGCCTTGAAGCCTGGAAAGTTCAGACAGGGTGTTATACGCTGTATCTGACAAGGCGGCAGCGTCGTGAACGGGGTGAGCGCCACACGAGGAGTAGTTAGTGCACACAGAGTTGCCGTCCTCCGGTTGTATACAATAGTTCTTCTTTGCTGCAGCGGGTTTCATGATGGGACACTTTTCACTGAGCCATCGCTTGCACCTCATATGTGCTGCATTCAGGGCCGTGGCCATCTGAGATGAGCAGTTTTGCCGAAAAATTTGCTGGAACTGCACTTTCAAGTCTCACAGGAGCATCGCTGCAGCCGATTTTAAGGCCAGAACATTTGCGAGTGAGGAATCGCAACAGGATGCAGTTCTGAGGCTGCGGAGTTTTGGAGTGTAACAGCGTGGAACTCCAAAACTCCGCAGCCTCAGAACTGCATCCTGTTGCGATTCCGATTACGAGCAAATGTTCTGGCCTCAAAATCGGCTGCAGCGATGCTCCTGTGAGACTTGAAACTGCACTCTGATGCAGCGCACGCTCCAAAATGGCTCTTTGTGACCGCGTTGTGACCGCGTTGTGACCGCGTTGTGACCGCGTTGTGGCCGCGTTGTGACCGCGTTGTGACCGCGTTGTGACCGCGTTGTGACCGCGTTGTGACCGCGTCGTAACCGCGTTGTGACCGCGTTGTAACCGCGTTGTGACCGCGTTGTGACCGCGTTGTGACCGCGTTGTGACCGCGTTGTGACCGCGTTGTAACCGCAAGATGTTAAAATAAAGCGAAAAGAATTTTTGGCCCCAAGCACGATTTAGCAAGGCCAGACAAAGAAAAACGCGCTGTTCCCGAGTAATTTTTGGCTCCAGGCCTTTGGCTGGCCACGAGCACTCGAGGGTCCATTTTCCTAAGTCGGTTTGGGGGCTTCAGGGACACAGAGAAACGCGCTGTTTTGGAGTAATTTTTGGCTCCAAGCACGATTTAGCAAGGCCAGACAAAGGAAAACGCGCTGTTCCCGAGTAATTTTTGGCTCCAAGCCTTTGGCTGGCCACGAGCACTCGAGGGTCAATTTTCCTAAGTCGCTTTAAGGCTTCAGGGGGCTTACCCTCTCCTGGGCTACCCCACACGAAGGCAACAAATCTAGAAAATGAAGTGGGTCATTTCTGCTATATAAATTCTAATTAAAACGAATTGGGAATCGAGCCATTTTTCCCGAATCCTGGGGTACCACCCGTGGAGCCTCCCTGGGACCTTCGAAAGAGCTTGCAGCCTCTTCAGACCTTCGAAAGAGCTTATTCAAAGAGGACAGAGAAACGCGCTGTTTTGGAGTAATTTTGGCCCCAAGCACGATTTAGCAAGGCCAGACAAAGAAAAACGCGCTGTTCCCGAGTAATTCTTGGTTCCCGGCCTTTGGCTGGCCACGAGCACTCGAGGGTCCATTTTCCTAAGTCGGTTTGGGGGCTTCAGGGACACAGAGAAACGCGCTGTTTTGGAGTATTTTTGGCCCCAAGCACGTTTTGCAAGGCCAGACAAAGGAAAACACGCTGTTCCCCAGTAATTTTTGGCTCCAGGCCTTTGGCTGGCCACGAGCACTCGAGGGTCCATTTTCCGAAGTCGCTTTGGGGGCTTCAGGGGGCTTACCGGGCTTACCCTCTCCTGGGCTACCCCACACGAAGGCAACAAATCTAGAAAATGAAGTGGGTCATTTCTACTATATAAATTCTATTTAAAACGAATTGGGAATCGAGCCATTTTTCCCGAATCCTGGGGTACCCCCCACGAAGCCTCCCTGAAACCTTCGAAAGAGCTTGCAGCCTCTTCGGACCTTCGAAAGAGCT